TATATATATATATATATATATATATATATATATATATATATTATGTGGTGCTCTGCATCTGAAAATGTTGAAGAATCCTGGAGAAGAGAAATGACTGCACTATCAAGCAGCACTTGCTAACTTAATATTGCAAGCCTGGACTGTGTTTACCTTTCTTTCATGTTTTGTGCCTTCCCCAAGCCATTAAGAAAGAGATCTGGCCTCTGCTTGCGTGTACCCAGTAATGACAACCTCTTTGCAGTTATCTGTGTACAAACAACCGGAAATATTCAGAACTCTGCTATATTAACCCAGTACTAAAATAAATCAATCAAGAAATAACATTTTTGAAAAGAATAATCTTAAAATAAATCAAAGAGAATCAAAATAAACACAAACTAGCCAATCCCACATGCAGACCCATTGAACATCACTCTGATTTCAAAAAGATGGTACAATTAAAACAACAACAAATCTACACAGTCCTAGGTCATCTATGATTCCAACTAATCTGCAAGATGGATTTCAGGAATGGAAACAGAATGGTCAATGAACATGGTTAGACTGAAGTCACATCCTATCCAATTATGACCAGATCTCAGACATATTCAGAACAGGTTGGAATCACAAGAAATGAAAATCCAATGAATAATTATTAATGGAAGCACATTTATTTAAATATTATCTCCCTGAAAATATGATCATTTATTTATACTGTTCAGGTTTTTTTATTGCTGTGGTAATATACAGTAGGACAATAGCAGTGAAGAGGAAACAAACCTACTGTAATTTAGAGGATCTTACAAGCAAATTAGGATCTTCAGCTATCCAGGTGATACTGCTGGACACTAGCAAGTATAACACAGATTTATACTTCTGTCAATAGAACTTGGTTAATGCTATAGCTATTCTGTTAGTTAATAAGCAGCATTTAAATTGCAGAAATGTAATCAACATATAGCCTCTGGTTTACAAGATAGATGGGATGGGAGATCGAGAGCGTCTTAGACAAGGTGAGCTGTAAGGTGAGATTACTGGAGACAGTCTCAAGGCATTGCCTGCCATGCCAGATATGTTGTTTAAACTTCTGGATTTTTCATAGCCTTTCATGAGAAAATGCAGACATTAGTTGAGTTCAGTCAGAAAATAGACAAACAACACAATGCAATGTAATATTATGTTTTCAATGAGTGCCTATAAAAAGTCCTAATGTTTTCTTAAATAATAGAGAAAAAGATAAGATGCCATTTATCAATAAAGCTTATATTTTTGTGTACATTTTAAGGGCAAAGACCACCGGCATATACTTGATATGCCTATTGGTTCTGTCAATGATAATTAAAAGAAATACTGTAACTGGCTGTCTCATAATATAAGTCAGTATCATAATTATAGAACAGTTTTCCCCATCCGGCAATCAGAATGCACCAGGGGAATTTTATTGATAAGTATAGTGGCACCGGACTAGTTCTGTAACCTAGAACATTCTATACCTAAATTCATGAAGCCTTTTTTTTTATTTGTAACCCCAGAGGTTACATTTATTTTGTTAAAAAGTTCCATTTGCAAAAGTGTTCCTATCAGGCATCCAACATTCTACATCTAATACTATTTAAAATTTGATATATTTGAAGTATTTACAAGATTTGAAATCCATTAAAATATGTGTATATTTTTGTGTTTAATTATTCAGTAAAATCATAGTATTAAAATTTTCTAATAGCTATTTAAAAAATAAAGAGTGAATGTGCACTTAAGATACTAAAATAAACAGTATTTAGATGTTATGTAATCATTACATCTAGAGTTATAGAAACTCTTGATGGATCATAAAAACATGTTAGAAGTGAGCATTAGGCTGGGTGCTCGTCCCTCCTTCACTCATAATAGGATCCTGTTGTATTATCTAAACTAGAGGTTACATAGGAGTAAGTTCCATTTATTTTATAAAGAATCCATTGTGAAGCAAATATATTGTAACTGAATTACACACAAAATAAATATGATAATTCTTATGAATTTTTATAAGACGTGAACTAATAGTCTCTTTAGCTACAAACTAATCTCACTGTTAGGTAAACAATTATATATTCCTTATTTTTTGTTAAATTTATATCACTCCTTTTCTCTGGGGTATCAAAGCAAAATATACAGTACACCTTTCTGAAATTTCTCCTCATAACCATAATCCTCTAAGGTAGGTTGGGTTGGGTTGGGTTGAGAGAGAATGAATGTGACTTTCCACAGCAGAGGTTGGACATGATCCAAAACCTCCTGGTCCTGTTCTATAAATTAACTAGGTGGATTACTAGTCAATAGGATCTGTAGAGAATGAGATGAATATAAGTACAAATGCTATTTGATCTCAGAAGCAACATTTCTTTAAGATAGCACCCATAATTGCTGCAAATACACCAGGGTTTCCCACACAAACACATAAAATATGGATGACATACCTAGGGATGTAAAAGAAATCTGTGGGAACAGATTTGCAAGATTCCCCAGTTCGGACTCTGTTGCAATAAAGACAGTAGCACTGAACTGAGTCCACTAGTGTCCATCTTTCTCTGGTCAAAAATCCGCATAAAAATTCCATTTGTTTGTGAAAGATGCATCTGAAAAAGAGTGTTACGTTTCTGAATGTTGCATACAAAAAGGGGTAGTTACATAAATATGAAGGATATGTACATTTTAAAAAGTACTTGGGAAATTTATGAAATAAAGAATAGCATCATGGAAATTTGCTTTAAAAATGATTTATTGGGGAATTTACATTAACAACTAAGTACAGCAATAGAAAGTGTATATTAAAATGCCATATGTTATGGAAAACTGTGAACAAAAGTGGATATGGATTTTCAAATACTGCTTCCAGCTCCTAATGCAAAGTAGTGTATTTAATTTTTTTAAACAAATAAAGCAATAAATAACCTTTTGGGGGAGGAGGGATTTAAAGATTGGATTGTGATTCAAAGATGCATGTGACCTAGGCATGCCATCGAACTTTCATTAGTTTGCTGCAGGGGAAAACATAATAATACCGGTGTAGCTGAAGCAATTTTCTATTCAACATAGTGGAACTATCCTTAACTTAGTGACTTTGGGTAACCATGTTCCTTCTTTCAATTCAAACACTTTGTAAAAAATAGTACCTTAAAATTTTTGTTCTTTTTCAGAACTTTGTTTTATCTACCTCAGAGTTAATTAAATCATCCTTCTACGGCATGACTGTCAAACTCCCGGCCCACGGGCTGGATGTGTCACACACTGGCCATGCCCATGCCTGGTTTAGCAAAGGGGAAGGGAGTCCCAATACATCACATGACACTGCCATGAGAACGTGAATTTGACACACCTGTTGTACAGCATAAACTAAATTACAATAGTAACTAATTTACATTTAAATTATCCCACAGCAATTTCTAATTATTTAGAAAGCGATTTAATGAAAATGGTCTAAATTACATCTATATTCTTTCAGGTAGACAAATGAAATCATGAATGAAACAATAACATATTTTTCCATGAATTAATGAGCCAAAGACATTTCTAATACGAAACAACAAAGGGACAACAAAGAAAATATGAAAGAAAAATGCTGACTATAGTATTTCCTATAGCATTTATTGACATCTGCTTTATTCCAGGATTATTTGTTCAGAAGAATAGTGATAAAATTTATAGTCTAAGGAAAGAATCCATACCTTTTCTGATCCCTCCATCAGTAGCACATGGGTAATCACCTGCTGTCAGTAGAAAACATGTTCCCCCTCTTCTGTTTTTGTCTCTGGTACTAGAGCGTCTGATTGGTGGGGGGCTTTCCATTGGTGACAATGGCTGCTCACTTTCTGTACTGTCTTCACCTGATAACACTGGTCAAAGCACCATGCCCATTTACATCATATAGCCAATGAATAAATGAGACATCACAAATAACTTGCCTTATACACTTACTATTGAAGGTGGAAAAGAAGATTAAGTAGTAATAAGTTATGAAATGAAAAAAAGTTTGCTCACAAAGTTGAAAATCTATGATTTCCTAAGGAACAAACAAACTGGCCATTTACATGGATGCTGTCTTCAGTATTATATATTGCTTCAGTGTCTTCCGTATTTAAAAAATACAGCAAATGTATACTATAGCATTTCATCCACTACTCAAAGAAATTAATTAGCTAGCAGTGAGACAGTATGTTACACAAGATATGTTACACATATGCAACACCTGCAGTCTAAGGCCAATCTGTCACTCAGCATAATGTTAGACAAAGACACTAATGAGTAACTTAATGTTCTTCAATTGTAAGTCACAAATTTAAATGCAGCTCATGAGCCCATCATCTGTAAGATGTTGATAAATGTATTACTTTGTAAAATATTCATAGGGCAGCAAAAGCAGGCATTAATCAACCTGCAATATATGGCTAGTGGCTAAATTTAGCAGGTAAGTCCCAAATTGTATAGGTACAATATGTTGCACAGTTTATATGGTAGATAATCAGCTAGTGGTCCTTAGCAATTCACAGAGATCTGCTGTTTTAACAGATATGTCTAGGTTCCCTCTGCCTCAAATTCTGCATCTTGAAAGGAAATATTTGGTTTTTCTAGGTTGTCTGTTAACAATCTGTTAACCATCTCCCTTCTATATAAAAGTCTTAAAGCTTCCCTATCTTCTTACTAACACATTAGTCTAGATTATTTTCTATGATGGCTCATTTTCAAAGAAAAATCTGTATTCAAGGACCAAACCATATTTTAGCTCAACTCTGGAGCAGATGATATTTACAGAAAAGGCTAAGCTATCTTCTCCAATCATGGTGCTCCCAAGATAAAGCCATTTTATTTGGAAATTATAAGGTATGAATCAGATTTCAAGAATACATGATTGGGGAAGACTGTGGTTCTTTAATATTTAAGCCTTTTCATTAACCTCTTTGCACTGAAAATAATATTATTATGCAATACATTAATATTTCTTATGATAGAGCTATTTTATTGATAGCAATGGAAACTGAGGAACAGTTTAATCTGTTTCATTTCCCCCTAACCTCTCTTTATCAGCACCCGTTATTCGACTCACTTGCAAACTGTGCCCTCTCTATGTTAGAATACAATAGAATAGGGGCGTCAAACTCGCAGCTTGTGGGCCAGACACATCACTCACTGGCCATGCCCAGCCACATTTTAGTGAAGGGGGAAAAGTCACATGATGACACGATGACATGAGTTTGACACCCCTGCGATAGAAGAAACTCATGAACATAAACATTGTTTCTTCTTTTCTGCATTTTTAAACTCTGCATGTGTATGTGTGTGTGTTTATGTATCAGATTTATTAAAATTATATCTAAAAAAAGACTACTTAAGGTAAGGTACTTTTAAGTTTCGCTCCTAATCCAAACGAAATACATTTCTTACTGATCTTAACTTATGGCAAATTTAATTTATATTTGTTTCCTAGGTCAAGGATAACAGCCATAATTGTAAAAAAAGAGTGAAACTTAGACAAAATATGCCATTATTCTTATAGAATTTTCAAACTATTACAAAAAATTATTCTGCTTTTTAAATATCAGATAAATTACTATCTACAACCAATTTCATTGTATTTAAGTACAATGACAATAAAGATTATACTTATACTATCTGTTTTAAATCATGAAATTATACTATTATTGTAATTCTTGTATTATTTTTGTATTATTGTTCTATTGCATGTAAATTAGACAGCCCTTTTCTTAAGATCCATGAATCCTTGACTCTCAGAAAGCTTTGGCTTCAATGGTGGCTGCATTATATGAAGTTCAAAGACCTCAAAGCCACTCATTTGGGATAGGACAACCTAAACTAACCTATGTTTAAGTAATGTAAAGATTGCTGCTAGTATTTTGTAACACCAGCAAACAAGGAAAACATTACATAGGATAAAAATTCAACAGAATGAAAGCACAATTGTATAGCACAAACATGAACTAAACATCTGTACAATGCAATAAGCAAAAAAAGAGAAAGCCACCACTAGAAAAGAAAATGATGGAACAAAAAGCAACTTAGCATTTAGAATACATTTAGCAAACACTATATAGAAAGCAATTCACAGATCCAAGATCTAGCAACTTTGCCATTTATGGGACTGGCACACAAATAATGATTGAAGGGGAAAGTGTATGATCTATCTCTTTCAGCTGAAGAAAGTTTAAATGTTTTTTTTTTCATTCTTTATATTGCCAGACATACCAGACATGCATCTGGAATTGTGTCCTACCTGATTTATTATGTTCCATCAGCCGGTTGTCTTTGCCAAGACAGACTTCTCCCTGTGTACTATTGCAGGCCATATTCAAGTCTGTCTTGCAAAATGTAGGGGACCTTGCCTGAGGAGCAGGTGGGATGTGCTTCTTTCTCTTTCTTGGAAGCTTCTGTTTCGCCATGGCCAGAGAATAGTACATTCCAAAATTGTTGACAATAACAGGCACAGGCATGGCTATGGTCAGCACTCCAGCTAAAGCACACAGAGCACCCACTAGCATGCCTGACCAAGTCTTTGGATACATATCTCCATATCCAAGAGTAGTCATGGTGACCACAGCCCACCAAAACCCAATGGGAATGTTTTTGAACTCTGTATGTTCACTAGCTGATGGATCATTGGGTTTGGCACCTATTCGCTCAGCGTAATAGATCATGGTGGCAAATATCAACACTCCTAATGCCAAAAATATTATCAGCAGCAAAAACTCATTGGTGCTTGCACGGAGTGTATGACCAAGCACCCTGAGGCCAACAAAATGTCGAGTGAGCTTGAAGATTCGCAATATTCTTACAAACCTCACCACCCTGAGGAAACCAAGCACATCCTTAGCAGCTTTAGAGGAGAGCCCACTCAGACCCACTTCTAGATAGAAAGGCAAAATTGCCACAAAGTCAATGATATTCAAGAGATTTTTTATGAATTCACATTTGTTGGGTGAAAAAACAACACGGACTAAAAACTCAAATGTAAACCACACCACACAGACTCCTTCGACATATGTTAGAGCTGGATCTGTCTCTATTTCATACTGCAGAACTGAACCTTTGATAGGTTCAGTTTTATTTTTGATGGTATTAAACGCTTCATGGGTTTCCAGGCAAAAGGTGGTAATCGAGAGTAGGATGAAGAATAAAGAGGCAAAAGCAATGAACTGTAAAGAAAATGAAAAGAAAGGAAAATACATTAGAAAAAGACAATAAAATCCAAAAACAATCCCCAACAATATTACAATTAGAACCTTTGCCTTAATTTATATTAATTAATAATTAAGTATTACAAATGAAAATATAGAACAGGATGTATGTCATTGGGTTATTGTTGATATTAATTTAATTTCACTTAATTTATGTAGCATCTACTTGCCAAAGAAGACATTACTAACATTCTCAAGAAGAACTGATAAGTTTAAAGAATAAAAAACAATGAATAGAAAACTATGGAATAGTTATTGTGAATTCTGTGGTGCAAGACACATGCACTTCCCTTCCTTTTTTTTTAACCTTGTGCTTTTGATTTCCATACTACTTCTTTCTGCATTTTACACAACATTGATTGAAAAGAACATATGTTCTGGCTGACATTATGCATATCTGCAAATAGTAAGAAAATTCTTGCTTCTGACAATGTACTTAAGCAAATTAATATTTAAGCCATAGTGCAATAATATTTATGCAGTTATATCTTTTATTAAATTCACTGAAGCTTATGTCAAAATAGAATATTTACAGGACTGACTCTTCATTCTTTCCAAAATGACCCAACATTATCCTTCTTCTTTGGAAGCTTTGTTGGAAGGGCTTTCAATTTTACTCTATATAATGGAGCTAGGATAAATGTTAAGGTCTAATATCATATACTTTCTTCCTCTGGCTGAAAAAAAAAACCAGTGGGACAAAGTCGCAAGGAGAAAAAATGTCCTCACATGTGGAACCAAATGTAGTATTTATTTAGGGTTTGAGTAAAAGAGAAAATAAAGGTGATCTTGAATGGAGCTCAGTGTCTAGTGACTATATGGACACAACAATGTAGTCACAAGGCTTTTTTGCAGATGTTAAGTGGTTTGCCTTTTCCAGCATGTTTTCTACTTATAGATCTAGAAACACAAACTGGGACTGTAGAAATTTATCTAGAGGGTAGTTAAATAACAACCCAAACACTATTTTTTTCAAAAAGGGGAATTATTATTGCAAACTCCAGTCCCTCAAAATACAACTTTGCTTGATCATAGATAGTAAGGCCACGATGGAAATTCACCATTCTTATTATTCTTAATTAGTTGAGGAAGTAGAGCGGGGATTAATTCAAACTAGAGCCTTCCACTAGTCTTAATTACTTAATGCAATTAAATGCTTAACCTCTGCAATCATTATCGCTAGCTAAGCAGATAATTCTCTGCAGTATAGTGGGGCTCCTTTGATTCATTATGTAGCTCTATAGTTCCCTAAAATACCTTTTGTCAATCTATAGTAGGATGCAATATCCAAAAACATAAGACTATTATTAAGATGATCCATTATGACATGCCAAAAAAAGGTCATTGGTTCCTATTGACAAAATAAAATATAATCATGCCTTTTATATTGACTGTTTACCTACATTTAGGAAATTGTTTGTAAAGTCTCTTATGTCTAGAAAACTCTGCATAAATATTAGACTTTCATTAGCCTTATGGGTGTTCAAGTTGGCAGTGAGTATTTTCTTAAACTTGGAGATGTTGTCTTTATTGTAATTCACTTCAGAGTGAATGTGAATGGCATCTTCTCTCAGATTGATTAACAGTACTATAAACAGTAACCTTTTCACTTCTACCATCATCTTACAGCTATAAGATGCCTCAGTAAAGAGTGAATATTATCATTTCCCAAGATTGGAAATCTTGCCTAGAGATAGAAAATAATGTAACTCTATATTTCTTTACAGTAGCTAGTTCCTCTATTTTAAGCTCTTTAGAATATACAGAATTTGTCTGTGGTTCAGAGCTCTTTTTGAATTGCTTGATTTATATTTTGCTCTTGGACTTAATTTATCATTCTTAATTCCTTTATTATTTGTAATTTCCATTTTTTTGTAGTAAAATGGTTACTTTAAAAACAATGAATAAATATGCTATCCAGCAGCATGTGTGTTTTTCTTTTTTTAAAAAAAATTACAAGTGTAATATAACCATAAGAAAAAAAACAATAGCTCTTTTAATCTCCTTAGGCAGATAGTTGAACACCTTCTAGCAGATTTGACAGAAATTTTAAAAAATGAATTATTATTGAAAATGTGCCATATTATCCTTCTCTCAAACTATATTAATTTGCCAATCATCAACCTAATTCATTTCAAGTCCCAACCTAACAGAGAGCTCAACATTCAGTTCACTTTGCCATGCTGTGCCGTCTGTGTACTGTTCCAAAATCCTTACCTAATTGCATTACTTTTTCAGCAATTATTCAATAATTTTCACATTCCGTGTTGAGTAAATCTACATATTAAAATGTTTCTTCTGTGGATATGATTTTCTGTAACATATATTTTAGATATCCCTAGACCATTAAGATAATATTCCGGGGGGAGGGGGAATCAGCTTTTATATAGCAATTTAATATTAGTAAAAAGCTTTATTTTCAATAAGCTGCTTTGATGTTCCTACAAATATATTTTTCTTTATTAGTCAGTAAACTTTGAATAGTACAGTGCCTTCTATTCTCATGACCTCCTTTTCTATTTTCTTTCTAATATCATAGATTTCAATCATAGATTTCAACCATTGGGTTTCTGGTGCTCCACCAACCACGACACCAGGAAAGGGGTGGAGGAGTAGCAATTATCGTCCGAAGCTCGTTAGTTCCTCGCAGGATCCCTGCCCCAGAGATTATGGGATGTGAGTCTCTCCTCTTGAAGTTTGACCTAGGGGTTCAATTGGGCTTGCTGTTGACGTACCTGCCTCCCAGCTGTGTCACGACAGCCCTGCCTATGCTGCTAGAGGCAGTAGCCAGGTTGGCGGTGGAGTTCCCCAGACTAATAGTACTGGGGGACTTTAATCTGCTGCCTCTTGGTGAACACTCAGATGGGACACAGGAGTTCATGGCTTCCATGACAACCATGGACTTGACCCAGGTAGTTCAGGATCCGACTCACAGAGCGGGACACACGCTTGACCATGTATTTCTCTCAGGGCAGTGGAGACGTGATCTCGAGTTAAGGGGAATAGAGATCTTGCCCTTGT